ATCATAAAAAAAGTGTTTTATAAAACTTAATATTAAATTAATTATAAGAAAATAAATAATAAAATAAAAATAAAAATAAAAAACCGGGTAGGGGGCAGATTAACACGTGAAAAAGGGATGTTTTGAGGGCACAGAAGCACGTGACTGAATTGACGTTAACCTAAATCTAAGCTCTCTTCTTTACTTTTCTTTCCATTAAAGCAATCAAATACAATTATTTATTTAAATATTTATTTTCAAATATTATTTCATTTCCTCCCTCTTCTAATAATTATTCAATTTGAACATAGCTTAGTGCATAAAATATTGATTACAGTTTCAAACATTGATGCTCGATTTGAACATACTTCTGATGTACTAATTATCGTGCCAATAGTAAACGCTAGGTAGCCATACACAGAGCGGATAACTACTGAAAGCATATAAATCGTAAGCCAACCTCAAAATGAGTGAATTTTTTTTATTAAAAAAAACTAAATCACGGTAAGCAAAAGATGCCTTATTTTTTTACGAAACTCAACTTATCAATACTGTCAATCTCGACATATATGGTTCAGCTAGTCTTAGCTAAAAGATCAAAGATTCGAGTACTCGTTCTCGAGTTAAACCAGACAAAGGCTAATTTTGGGGTTGTTGTTTTTTTCTTTTCTTTTGCATCATTTCTAATCAACATCTTGACCAAAAGTACATTTCGGGTTATGGACATGTTTGGAAAAATAATATTTCCACGATAGCTTTGACCTAAAATTTTAAAACCGTCCTTTTTTTTTTATCCATTTCTAACATATTTTCTTTCACGTGTATAAATAATTAAAAATTGTTGTCTATAAATCATACTTTTATGTTCTAAAATGAAGCGTAACGAAATTGGCATGTGGGGTTTATTCTATATTAAAAATTTATATTTTATTAAAGCATATAATAAATAAATAATAAATATCAGCCCAGTTTTTAAACTAGTGATGCCAATGGTTAAAGCCCAGTAATTTTGGGCTTCTGGCCTTCCAAGCGGCCCAAGTTTTTACCCTAAGATTTTAAACTTTTTATAATATTTTAATTCATAAATAATAAATAAATGTAAAATTCCATTGACTTTCTATATTTTTATCAACATTTTCACATGTATTTTTTACTCTAAGTTTCTTTATATTGTAAAATTTTGATAAAATATAAAATAAAATAAAAAGTGATTATAATGTAATGGCTAAATTAATAAAAATATCATCGTCTAAAAAATATTCAATAATATCTTTTAACTTTTAAAAATCTCAAAAATACCCTTAAACATTTAATAGTGTTTAAAAAAAACCCACAAAATTTTAAAGGTAGAATTAGTATCCTTTATATTTATAAAAATAAAAATAAAATAAAATAAGTTATTACTGTCAATATATGGACAAAAACCGTTTGTCAAACACCTTATAGATTATCTCCAAATTTTTTAATGTTAGAGTTCGTAAGTATTTTTGAAACGTGGTACCAAGGGTAAATGTATATCATTAATTTAAAAAAAAAATTAAAGTATTTTTTAATATTTTAAAAAAATTAAATATATTAACTAATACTATTTTTAAATATTTTTTTAAAACTAAAAGAGTATTTTTAAGACCGTTAACCGTAATTAATTTTCATCCCAAATAAATGATAAAAATATTTTTGAATTTTTAAAAAGTGTAAAAATATTATTGTAATTTTTGGTAATTTATTTTTAATTAAAATATAGTTAAATAATATTTTTATTAATTCATCCTAAACAAAATAATAAACATTTTAGTTTATTAGTAAAATGAAAAGTGTTTATTTATTAATTATTTATTGGGAGTCGTCGATTCTATAGCGATAGATCGTTAAGTCAAGGAAATTATTTATTTATTTTTTTTATTGTTTTTTAAAATTTAAATTGTTTCAAGCGTAAATGGAACGGCCGTATTATTGGAAAAAATAAAATCGAAAATTGACAAACCAAATGGGCCCAGAAAATTACACCCAGTGGCCCAAATAGTTGGGCCCACGGAAGGACGTTTCAACCATCTTAGTTAGGCAGCTTCCTATTACTTTTCAATCCATTTTAACCACACTTCACTTTAGTATTTATTTATTTTTTATTATTATTTTTAATTCATCCATTTCCGAGTGCACCGTCTAACCATCGACTATTAAAATAACAATCCATATCTTATTTACCGAACAATACTCGAATTATCATTTCACTTTTATTTAAAAAACACAAACACGAAAAATGTCATAATAGGTTCGAGATTTTTTTTTTTTTAAATTGTATTAATAAGCCATGCAATTATCAATTCGAGTATAGTTTAATGGTTTAATACCGACTGAAAGGTACAAACTTCAAAGACATTATTATTATTATCGGGTTTTACAATAGGTACATTTTCTGTATCTTAGTCCATCTAACTTATTTAATTAATTGTTAAAAAAATATTTTCATGATTATTTATATTTTCAGTAACAACAATAAAAATGATTAGAGATGTCCCGGGGCGTGGTGAAGAGCGAAAATTTTCATTTATTTTATAGTTCATTATTATTTTAAACGATCTTACCAAGAGCGACAATAAAATTTATCCTATAATTTTTTTAAAATAAGTAGAAAATAAATATAAATGAATAAAAATATTAATAATACCCTTAAATTTAAAATAAATAAATAAACATATATATTTTTTATTAAGTTAGCCACTATTTATTATTTTTTTAATTGAGTCAATGTAATTTGTTTTGCCTAGACCACTACTGCCAAATCCATTTCATAACAAATCCAAATAATTAATTTTTAATTTTAAAAAATATTAAATAATAATTTAGCAGCCGTTTAAATCTTGTTCTTGTTGACCTACAGAACTTCATAGAAACCCTCACGAAGCTTCCTTCCCATTTTCCTTTAAATTTATTATTCCTTTCTTTCTCTCTTCCATTATCAAATTAGTTACCTTCGCTGCTCTTTTCTCTCTCAATCTCTCCCGGACACACTAAAACGCCGCCGTTTCATGGCCGCCGAGGACGACGATGACGGCGGCGGACTCTTCTCTCCGTCGTCCTTCAAAAGCTACGCTCTCAGCGGCAAAATTATGCTCGGCGCAGTCATTGTGTTGTTATTTGTCGTTATCCTCATGATTTGTCTTCATCTCTATGTTCGATTGTATCTCCTGTCCTCCAGCCGCCGACAATCCCGTAGCCACCGTCGCCGTCGCCGCCGTGTGCAATTTGAATTCACAACGGAGCCTCGAATTGCCGCCGCTTCATCGCGTGGTTTGCCGCAGTCGATTCTCAAATCCCTACCCGTTTTCGTTCACTCGATGAAACCCGACCCGGATCCGGTTTATTGTGCGGTTTGTTTATCGGAGTTTGAAGAGAACGAAATCGGGCGGACTATTCCCAAATGTAACCATAGCTTTCACGTGGGGTGTATTGATATGTGGTTTTACTCGCACGTGACCTGCCCGCTTTGTAGATCCGAGGTCAAACCCGAACCTGGATCCGAATCCGGCCCATCTAATGACCCGGTGGAGCTAGTTCTTGATGTTTGCGAACCGGGTTCGAGATCTAGCGAGGATGAACCGGTTCGTGAGTGTCTGGTTGAGATGGCGGCATCGGTGGAGCTGGTGGATGACGAGTCGAGGCCAGCAGCCGACATGTCGGAGACAACGACGAGTTTTGTGAAATCGTTGTCTTTGAAAAGGATTCTAAGTAGAGATGCAACGAAACGGGATCTGGAGAAGGAGGAATCGGCGGCCGTTCGTTGAGAAAGATAACGGTTCCATGTGGAACGGAACGGGATGGGAGTTGTAAATATCTGTTTGGTTTTTAGATGTAAACTAAGATACGAACAAGTACTTTTCAATTTTTGTGATATTTTCTCCTTATTTCTATTTAGTCTCTACAATTTTAAAATTTATATTTCTATCCTTAAAATTAAAGAAATTAAAAAAAATATGAAGTACCCTTGAAATTACATTAATACCCTTATAATTTGTATATGATTTGTATATGGATAAACATCACTATTTATACTCCATTGTCTTCTATTTAGAATATGTAAGGGCATTTTCGTAATTTTGATCATTTTTTACCTGGGTTGGTCTATTGTAATTATCAATTTCTTTATAATTATTTTATACGAAAAAAAAGAAAGCCAAATAAAATTTATATTTTTATCCTTAAAATTAAAGAATTTAAAAAATATGAAATGCCCCTAAAATTACATTAATACCCTTATAATTTGTATATGGATAAAAATCACTACACTCCATAGTCTTCTATTTAGAATATGTAAGGGCATTTTCATAATTTTAATAATTTTTTTATGACATCGGTTGGTATATTGTAATTATCAATTTCTTTATAATTATTTTATGCGAAAAAAAAAGAAAAAGAAAGCCAGAATAAAATTTATATTTTTATCCTTAAAATTAAAGAAATTATAAAATATGAAATACCCCTAAAAATTACATTAATACCCTTGTAATTTGTATATGGATAAACATCACTATCTACCCTCCATCGTCTTCTATTTTAATATGTAAGGGCATTTTCGTAATTTTAATCATTTTTTATGACATCGGTTGGTATATTGTAATTATCAATTTCTTTATAATTATTTTATATGAGAAAAAAAAAGCAGAATAAAATTTATATTTTTATCCTTAAAATTAAAGAAATTAAAAAATATGAAACGCCCCTAAAATTACATTAATACCCTTATTATAATTGGTACATGAATAAAAATCATTATCTACACTCCCTTGTCTTCTTTTTAGAATATGTAAGGACATTCTTCTATTTAGAATATGTAAGGACATTTTCGTAATTTTAATCATTTTTGACACCGGTTGGTATATTGTAATTATACATTTCTTTATAATTATTTTATACGAACAAAAAAAATCCAAATAAAATTTATATTTTTATCCTTAAAATTAAAGCATTAAAAAAATATGAAATGCCCCTAAAATTACATTAATACCCTTATAATTTGTATATGGATAAAAATCACTACTACACTCCATCGTCTTCTATTTAGAATATGTAAGGCCATTTTCGTACTTTTAATCATTTTTTATGACATCGTTGGTAATTATCAATTTCTTTATAATTATTTTATATGAAAAAAGAAAAAAGAAAAAGAAAAAAAAAGCCAGAAAAAAAAAATTAAAATTTTATTTATTTATTCCATTGGATTTGCAGTGTTCGATGCCGAAGTGGTGAAAATAAGGCGTCTCCTTAATTCCATTTACATCATTCCAGAAGAGTAGGGGACCCCTCTGACTGGAATCCAAGCATCGCCGTCAATAAATCGTCTGGCAGTGTAAGCTGCGGCGTGCTGCGGCGTAATATGTCTAATTCCTCGCCACTTTACTCTATGGCTCTGATCAGCCCCTGGCCCTCTGTTCTGTACCTCGGCGTAGAACAACGTATTGAGTGCAAAATCGCCCATCCACGGCAACCATCCTTCCGGCTGGATCAAGTCGTCGATTTGAGACCCCATTATAATGGTTCGTGAATATTGCTTCCATGGCCGCCCCAAATACGCCTTGTTCACTTTCTTGAACGGCAAGTAAGACGGGTCACCCATGAAGTGGCAGCCTTGGAAGATCAATGCCGTCGGTTCACGACGATTGAGCCGCCCATGAGCTGTGACAATGCATTGTTGATTATCCAATGGCTTACGAACCACTAGCTTGCAGTTTTGGAAGATAGCTGCAGAGTTGCCAAACACGAAATCAATGGTGCCACTGATTATGCAGTCTCGATAGAACTGACGGTTAGCATGGGCGTAGAGAGTGTCTTGGTACCCATCTATTTGACAATTGTAAATGATGGCTCGATCCGATTGGACACGTAGGGCTACAGCTTGGTGCTTTGTCGGTCCAGCAGTGTTCACGAACCCCATGTCTCGAACGAAGAAATTAGCTCCAATAGCAGCTGGAATAGTCGTTAAATCATCAATCAATCCACGATAATGATAATAATAAATAAATTCATCGATACTTACCGAATGTAGCTGTCTTGAAAGTTTGAATGCCATCGACAAAATTTAAATTACCGGTAACGACAGATTTGGTCGGTCCGTCGCCATACATGGTCAAATGAGTCATATGCTTAGGAATAACAACAATTTCCTTATAAATCCCGGCTTTGACATAAATCACAAACGTTTTATTACTCTTCATCGGGACATGAACCAAAGCTTCATTTATTGTCTTGTACTTTCCGCTCCCATCTTGAGCCACCACCAGGTCGGGCTTAATCGCCCCCGTCCCCACTTGCATTAGCCGCCGCTTTCCGTCGCTAACCCACAAGGGAATGTCAGTGTCCAAAAGTCGCCGCCCAGTCGCTGCCGGCGCGTCAAGTGTACCCAAAATTTTGGACAATTCACTGACAATACCAAGGCCGTTAGTGGTCATTTCTTGAGCGGACTTCAAAAATTCTTTCATTCTCTCTCCGGAATCGCCGGTAGTGTTTTCAAATCCGTCAAGACAAGTTTGTTCATAAGTGAGAGCTGCACTAAGCCAAATCTTTAAATCGTTAACAAACTCCTCAAATTTCGACACGTGGAAGGTGCCGATTCGATGGTAAGAATCGTGGAGATCGTCGATGGCGTATTCCAATAACTCGCGGCAATTTTGAAGAGCTTGGTTGGCTCTTGGGTCTTGAGCTAATTCTTGAAGCGTAGTGGAATTTCTAATCGCCGCGTTAAGTTTTTCCACGGCGATTTTGAACCCGGCTTTGACAAGCTCTTTCGGGTCGGTTGTGTTGCCGGCTTCCACCATTAAACTCTCTTCGCAAGTTTCTTTGTAATCCGTTGGTTGACAAATGGTTTTGATTGCTTTAGTTGATGACGAAATCTTCTCGGCGTCGTCACCGTGATCATGAGCGTCGCCGCCTCCGCCTCCACCGCCGTCGTCGAGATCCTCTTGAGGAGCGTTGTTGACGCCGACGGTGACGGCAACCACCATAGCGACGAGGATTAAAGAAGAAACGCTAATGACGGCGATTTTCTTCTTCTTTTTGTCGCTTTCGGCATCAAATCCGTTGGACATTTTTGAAAAATAATAATTTTAATTTTTAATTATTTATTCTTTTATTTTTGGGGGTTTTTTTTTTTTTTGTTTTCTTTCAGAGCGTTCGGGGCCTTTAAGGTAGAGATACGATTGATTGCCCCTTTGGCTCTGGCATGGAAGGAAAGGAAAGGGAGGTAAAAATAGAAGGTAAATTTGAGTGGCAGTTATTTCCTTTAATTGATTGACGGTCTACGAATTTTTTCTTTTTTTTACCGTTTCTATCGCAGTTAAAATTGGCCAATGACCAGTGGAATTTTGAATTAGCTTTTGGTTTTGGTTGTGGTTTGTTTCCTAATTAAATCCATTTTTAAAAAATAAAAAAACTCTTTTTTTTATTTAATTAATTAAGGAGAGAAAAAAAAAAAGACTTATTGTAAAAATATTTTAATACCGAGAGGTATTCATGCTGGAATGTTTCATTTCTTATGAAAACTTCTCTACCTATTTTAAAACCATGAAGGAAAATTCAAAGAAAATAATATCTAGATTTGATTTGTTATAAAATGGTATCAAAATCAACTTTGGGCAGTGTGTCGGGGAGAATCCTAGCCCACAAAGACGGTGGATTGGAGCTCTCACAGTGGTTAGATAGAGGAACGAAACATTTTTAATAAGTGTGTGAAAACTTCTCCCTAACATACATGTTTTAAAACCGTGAAGCTAACGACGATATGTAACGAACTAAAGCGGACAATATCTGATGATGGAGATATGAGATAGTTACTAACAAATATGTTCATAAATTTGGAAGATTTTCATTTTTACGCTTAAAATTTGAAATTATTATAAAAAAAATTCATTAAAATAAAGAAAGATAATTGACACGGACGGAACAATTACAACTGTATAAAAGATTAAGATCAATGTTACTATTCGTCATATCAATTGCTATGGTTAAAATTATTTAGGTAATTAATGTTTACGTCTTGGTAAATTTTCATAAATAGTGTTGTAAATCACGTTACGTTTATATTTTGATTCATACAAATGAGAGTTTTCATGAGTAAATTTATTTGGGAGAGCGAAGACAGTTCTTCGTGCATGAGACGGCTGCTCGACAAGCTGTTTGCAACATACTTCGTAACCGTGATATCTTATCTCAGTGAAAAACTCTAGAGGTAATTTTGGAAGATAAAAAAGTTAAAAATATCCAAATTTATATAATTTAATATTTTTTAATATTGCTACTCCACGTCAGATTGAAAATGGGCCTGGAGATGCATTTTGGGCTGATGCAGTATTTTGAGTTCTCGTTCGGCCCAATTCAGTTGGATCTCTAAAGAAGATTTACGGCCCATTTGATAACCAAAACTGTTTAGTAGAACAATTTTTAACTAATAAAATAAAAGTTTTAATTTTTAAAAAATTAACTTTGATTAAGGCATAATTAACCATTGATAATTTTTTTTATAAAAATAAAATGTTAATTTATAAAAATATATTTATTTTCATAAATAATCTAAAAATAATTACAAAATTAAATAATAATAAAATAAATATGCTATATAATAATCTTTAAAAAATCCATATTATCCTCGACAAATATAATAAGAATTTTTTAAACATTCGATATTATTGATCGATTAAAATCGTACAAGTGCTTAATTAATAATTAACACGATTCTGAGTTTGATTAATGATTGAGTAACGTAAATGGAACGTAAGGGAGAATGAAAATATAATAATGGTCGAAAAGAATAAATTCAAATATTTGTATTAAAATATAGAATATAATTTAGATTTAAAGTGAATTCAAAAGTGGAAGTACCAACTTTAGGTGGAATTTGATTCCCTTAAACACCGACTTTTCAAGGCATGTTGCCTCCCTTTACCACAGGTGTCTGGTAATTGGAGCATGTCCATTTATTATTATTATTATTATTATTATTATTTTCGAGAATCTTTTCGTAAAGAATTTAATTCCAAAATCGGTAATAGAGATTTGAATTTACGATCGAATTTCGATCGGGTACCTTGATTGTCCTCTGATCGAGTAAATTGTAAGATAGAATCTTATACCAATATCGTGTTTTGTCCAGCACGCTCTGATGTTTAAGCTAGTATCGAGATGAAATAGTATCAATTTGAGCATGATAAAACTACGTACCTTTCTAGGTCGAGGTGGTCTTCTATTTATATTAGTCCCATCTGATATTCTGAGATATGTATAAAGGCTAAGTCGTGTCAATGTTTGGTGACCTAACAGTCTGCTCAAACTTTTATTACTCCATTTTAGTGATGTGTTTTGTCATCGACTCCATTTTCATAGTCTCTGAATACTTTGCTTTCCCTTTTCTGGATGTGTAAGCTCGATCGGTTTAGTTGGCTTCGACTTACGAAACGTTGTTGTCAACTTCTATGTTGCGTTAGAGTTGTTATATAGAATATAAAATTTAAATCTTATTTCAGTCTTCCAAAGTTTGTATATATTTATTACGCTTGCAGGTAACAATTTTTTAGCGTGAATCTCGAAACGGGCCGTGAATCTACAGTCATGTCGAAGACAAGAAATCATTTAATTCTCAACACAAAACCTTAATTATGAACGTAAATGTGAACCGTAGATCCTTGTTTTAGTTCATGTATAAAATTAAATATGTCAATAATATTTTAAAATAAAATAAATGGTAACACAATTATATATATATATATATATAATTATAAATAATACTAAGTATCTTAGTTTTTTTAATTTATTTTAATGAAAATGATATTACGGGCATAATTGAAGTCTACATTAATTTTTTTAATATTTTTATATAATATAATAGATGATACTAAAGGATGACACGTCACCCGCATGGCTTTCTTGAATTTTAAGAACTAATATGATAATAATGTCTTAAAAATAACAATAATTTTCATGATATTAGCTATATAATTATATATAGTATTTAAAAAAAAAAACCCTACAAAATTACCATTTTACCCTTTTTCTTATTAGTGTTGCAATATTATCCATTTATCTCAAACGTATGCCAAAAATTTTAAAATTATAATATTTTTTTTACCTTTTTTCTTAAAATTTTTTATATAACAATAAATTATTTTAAAAAAAAAATAAAATAGAAAATCTCTTTCACCATAATGCTGTTTTTTAATGTGTTTCTTCAAAAACATGTTTAAAAAAATTATATTAAAATAAATTAATTTAATCAGAATAAAGGAAATTCTAAACTTTGGAATTAAATTTAATTTAATCAGAAATTATTTTTTATTTATTTAAAAAAAAATCAGTTTATGGAACTGCTTTGGTAGGTATATTCGGATAGAATGTTGCCTAATATCCCTTGGATAAATACGAATAAAGCTACCTTTTCTTTCTAAAATTACAATCAAGCCCTCCCCATGAATGTATTTACATTTATACCCTTTGCCCTAATTGTTAGTTTGTGCTCTTAAAAATATTAATAAAAAATGTGACACCCGAGTAAATAAGGGTATATGAATTAACCGAGACCGTGTCTAGGACGATTGAAAAAGTCTTAAAAGAATTGAAAGTCATTATCTATACCAACAATGTGCACTTTCATTTTCGGTGTCTCAATCAGATGAACTTCAGGGTTAAACGTGCTTTTACCTCTTGTTTGGACCGTGGAGATAGTTTTTACTCTTAAGAAACGAGGAGTGGGTAACGTGATTATGTTATAGAGGAATGCCGAGGCCATCAGGTATCGAATTCGGATTCCAAATCCTAGACAAGGAGTGTTGCCAAAAAAGATTCATCAATTTAGTAATGCTGAGTTATTCTCATATTGGTATTTTAATATTAATTTAATTAGGATGAAAAGAGTCAGAGGAGTGAATGAAATTTTAGATATATTAAAATATTTAAAATATATGTGACGTAATTTTTAAATAAATAATAAATAGTAAAAATTGAATAATATATACAAGGACTAAATTGAAATTTTAAAAAATTAAATCTAATTGAAATGAGAAAAATATTTTATCGTTTCGTCAGCATTATGACGTCATAAACCGGACTCATCCGAACCCAATTTGAAAAGAATATTGGCCGACCCAGCCTTCTCCACCGCCCGGGAGACCAATTCAACGGTCATAAAAGCATTCCGTTTAGAGAGTGGATTTTAAATTTGTTTTAAAAATAATAATTAAAAAATTATATTAATTTTAAAGCAGAAATACTCATATATATTCTAACATAAATATAATTTGAAATTAATCGAAGGTAAATAAATAATTTTTTATTACCCTAAGCTATACTGTTAAAAGTATTATTTAAAAAAATTACTTTGATAAAAATATGTTTAATCCATTTGTTTATTGTAAGGTTCCAAAACTATAATCTATTGAAAAGATAAATCAAAATATACTTAATCATATACTAAAATAATTACCTCAAAATATTCCTAATTCCTTACGCTGCATTAAAATCCATTATTTTATTTTATAGCGCATCAAAATCTATTATTTTACTCGATATTGAATCCAATACTTTCGGAAAAAAATCTAAATAAATATAAATTAATTGAAAAAGAAATATGGTTCGAAGTGTGCTCAGAACTCCTCACGAAGTATCACTCCAAATTGATAGTATCTCGACGTTTTTCGTGATTGGTGGGACTTAGCTTCGAATTTGGATTATGCCTTAGCAATCATGGAAAAGCCCTCGAGAAGATTATTTTTTAGCAAATAACTCAAAAACCGAAAAAAAAAAAATTAAGGCCCACGAGAATAAAATCCACTGTGTGAAAGTTATTGCAATCATACAAAATTCTATCTCCGATTCCTTTTTTTTTTTTAATTCTCGCCCTCTTTTCTCGTCTCAAACTAGAGAATTTAACTGGAGTTTAGTACACTCAAGGTTCAAGTGTTCGGGATGATTCAATCATGACCATATAAATTCCATTTATAATGTTTGAAGCTCTTCGCTTTATTTAATCTCTTATTGAGATGATTACCTCTTCTAAAATATCTTAAGCTTTCAAAAGTTTTAATAATACCTTCAAAACTTTAATATATATATATATATTCTTGAATTAAAAAAAAAATTTATTATAGACAGATAAAAGTATTTTTTAATTTAAAAAAATTTGAACCTATTAATGATTTTTTTTTTATAGTTTTAAGGGTATTTTTAAAATAAAGTAGGATGTTTTCATCGGGAGCTGATTTTAAATTATTATTTTTAAAGTATGAAGGTATTATTGAAACTATTTTTATTAATTTAATAAAAAAAATTAAATTCATTATTTTGAATTAAAAAAAGAAATTATTATTTTATTTTCTAACAAACTTATTCCATCTGTGGGGCCCACAAAGTCCCCATAATTAAGCTTTGTTCCACAGCTATAAAATGGGCCAAACCCAAAGAAGATTTACAAACCAAACAAAAGGAGTCTTTGAAAGAGAGAAAAATTATGGCTCGTCGTGGTGACCTGGCAAAGATTGGAAGAGAAGGATTTGACCTAATTGACGAATACTTCGGTCGAGCACCGGCGACGAGAAGGGCGGCGGTGAGGCCGGCTCTGCCGCAAGCGCCGTGTAAGCCGGAGCAACCTCCGAGGAAGAAGAGAGAAAAGATGCCTGTAGCGGTGAACTGCAATCAGGTAGCCAAAGCCCGCGGCGGAATTGTGATAACCACTTGGCGTGCGGCAAAATGAGTACAGCTTTGTGTCTCTAGAAACTAGTGCTCACTCCTGTAAGTCCAAATATATAAATATGTATAAATATGGGGACCTATCAGCAATATGAATATATGTATATCCGGGACTTAACTGCAATCGAAATATATGTGAAGTCGTTGCTCGTTTGCTTCTTGTTGGTCCTCGTGTACTCTTAAAGTTTGTAAAAATAGACTCGAATCTATACATCATCGGCTATACTGTTATCTCGATCATACATCGTAATTTGAATTAGTATAAAATTTTAAAAATAATTTAAATTAAATAGCAAATTTGTAAATTAACTAGTCATATTAATCATTTAATTCATTAATTTATTATCGTTGAAATTTTACAAAATTACCATTTTGCCCTTTCCGTATTATCGTTGGTATAAATATCATTAATTTATCTCAGATGACTTCCGATATTTTAAAACTATAATCTTTTTTATTTATTTTTATTTTTTCTTAAAAGTGTTTATATAACCATAATTTGTTTTTTTTAATTAAAACAGAAAATCATAATTTATATAACTATTTTTTTTTACTTTCTAATTATAATGTAAAATCTTTTTGCTTTTCCTTGGAAAGTGCTTCTAAAAAATATTAAACAAAGGATTATGTTAAAATAAATTAAATTATGCTTAAAAAGTTACCCCAAGAACATTCCCTTTCATATTGCGTGCCAATTGTTTTTATTTCTAATAAAATATAATTTTAATCTTTCCATTTTTTTTTTTCCTAAAAAAATAGAAAATAATTTGTGACAATGGAGATTAAAAATTGTTTATTTTTTTTATTAGTATTTATGTGCTTAAATATATTTGAAAATTTTTCAAAATTATAATTTGTTTAGATGGTTAAAAATAACTCTCAACTAGTTAAAATATATATTATCGATAAAAAAAAAAAAAAAAAAAA